TGTTTGGGATAAACTCAAAAAAAAAAAATGAAAAAATTAAATCAACCAATCGGACTGTCTCCTGCGTAGTCAAAAAATTGCCATTTGGAGCCGATAGGTGTGTATAAGTTCTACACGGGAAAGTCAAAAGGTGTCCCATTCAACGGCGGAGACAGAAGGATCACGTTGCTCGCTCCTGACACACCGGCCCGGCGACGAACGAAGCATGTGACTGCTGCTGCTAATGAACTCTTGTTTGACGCTTTGTCAAAGGGTAACTTTCCCCTTCCATAAGTCAAGTTAACTCCCCGAACTTTACTTGCCACGACCATATACACTCAACTTCTTAAATACGAACCTTTTACTTGTTCTTATTTTCCTCACTAAAAAGACTATAAAATATATCTACAGTCTTTCTTGTTCTTTCGATTCTGAATTTCATTGTTTGCAACCAAACGCAGTATTTCGCCCACATTGTTTTCACATCGCCCACGTAACTAAATACGGAATATAACATGGAGTAGAAAAAAATGGCTACATTTAACTGTTTCAACGGTGAAAGGCGAAGACTAAGATGCCAACCTAGTTGCACATTTAAATTCTTGCAGTTTGAGAACTAGCGAAAGTAGCTTTTCGGAGAAGTTAACATGAAAGTATTTGTAGAAAAGACAGAGGGAAAAGACAGCACATCTGTGTGAGAGTGACTGTAAATGAGTTGCCAAATCAGGGCCAATCACATTTCATATCTGTCTGGATTTTGTCAAGGACCTTAAGACCAACAGCAGGAGCTTCAGACTATATATGGCAGCAGTATTCCATGCAAGGGTGAATGGTTGATTTATAGGTTTGAAGGATGGACTCAGGTGACAAAAACTTTCTGGCATGACAAAGATAATCAACATTTACATGCAGTAGATGAAGCTATTGAGTCAATGTATTTGTTCCATCTTAGGTCAGCAGACAGTGTGAGCAGGTGCAGAGAGGCGCTCTCATGGAGTTGAGCATCAGACATTCTAATGGGAGGCAGGGAGGGTTCTCTGTAATGGGTAAAAGAGAGCAGTTTTGTTTTTGAGGCATTAAAATTTACCAGCCATTTCTTTCCCCAGTTAACAACAGATTGGAGGTCTTTTTCATGACCAACAGCCAGGTTAGTTTTGTCAGCAATAGCAGATTTTATTTCATTTTCCCAACATTCTGCCTTACTGGCTGAGTGTTCTGGTTTCATTTGAAATGCTGAAATGATAACACAAAGATAAAAATTCTTCATTAAAGTCAGGCAAAAAGGCAGCAAGATTATTACTCTACAAAGCAAATGTATTCATTGGAAGTAAAGAATGAGCCTCCAATGAGATTTGAACACATCCTTTATTTTTGGTAGTCAGCCACATTACCGATGTGGCTAAAAAGGTCCACTGGAAGGAGTTATTCAAATTTTAATTCTCTTTTTGCCAACACCACCATAACACAGGAATACATTTTGCACAAATACAGGATGAATTAGTATATAGTAGTCATCATATATAATATAATATTTCTTGATAGAAACGTTTTATAAGGTATTTTTATTTCAACATACTTTAACTATCAGACATGGAAATTACAATATGGAAAAGAAGAAATTATATGAAATAAATGCTAGTCAAAAATAAATAACAATTGACAGTATATCCTCTAAGAAATTTGAATATTATTATATTTCTGATCAATTAATGGATTTAGTTTTAAGTTGACATTTTTATTACTTGAAACATTATTTTTAGTGGATACCAGTTTTTGAAATAGATGTGTCATTTTTTTTTTAAACAGTAATGCACACAGGAATGCATCTACCATCTACTTGCCTGTGTAATCAAGAAAACTTAAGAAAATGCTGGAGAGAACATAATCTTTATTAAGTTTTCTTGAGTGTGCAGACTGTTAGGCATAACACATACAGTTTAAAAAAAATGGGCAACATCTATTTCAAACGGTAACATGAACTAAAAATGATGTCTTAAGTGATATGCTATTATATCTATTGTAATAAAAAAGAATAGAAATAAGATGAAAGAAATTCCAAGCAAATATTAAAATAACTGACAATGAACCATGTAAGGAATTTGAATATTTTATATATACTATAATAAAAAGTAACATAGATATGAAATACTTCATTATTTGGACCATTGTCCTCATCTTTGTGGCCATACTTATTACAATGTTTTGGCTGTTGTATGCTTTAGCCTTCTTCAGGTCTTTGGTATGTCAAACTGAACCCTTTATTTCACTCACTGGGGTAGACTGTTCTAGTTCCACGTGCCATGTCTAATGGATGTCAGTTATCAGTTATCTCCTGTTAATTCCCCTCCCCAAGTTCTCCCCTGCCTTAACCGGGTATTGAACTCACAATCTTTGGGTCCAGTCACTGGATCTAACTAACACCTTTATTCACTGTGCCATGTTTCCTTGAAATGCTAATCAAAAATGAATAATTGAAAATACCTCATCTTACAAATTTGAATACTTTCATATCTAATGTAATAAAAAATAATGGAAAGGAAATGAAAGAAATTCTTGTGTAAAATGAATAATATCTCATGTCATAGCCATGTTTTTTTTGTTGATCAGGACTGAGATTAGACTCGGACAAAGCAATATGGGTCCTGCTTGGCAAAGTGTTTGTCATAATGAGTTGTGTGAAAACTTAGTAAAAGCTAAGAAATTTAAATACTGGTTGTATCCAAAAATAAACAAATAAAAATACATTTTTAATCTCCCTCTACAATTACATTTTCATCAAGTCTAAAAAAACAAACACGTAAAAGCAAACTTGGTGTCAGCACCATGCAGATGTAGCAAGTAAGTACACCATGTAAGTTTGTTAAGTAATGCAAACAACAAAAAATATTACATTTTGGATTTTATTTGGAGCCTATCTCCAGCCTATATAAGAACAAGCTAAAAGACACACAGATGACTCACAGTTTAGACAGACAGGAGCACACTCCAGATGTCTCACAGCAAGCACACACGGGAATGCATACAAGGGCCTCACAGCAAGAACTAATGGTAACATATATACTACATTCACATATTCACACCTTTCCAAAGAACGTCTTCTCATTTTGGGCATTCAAACCAAATTGCATCAACAACAGAAAAAGGAACTTGCTAAGTGAGTTATTTCTATCTATACACATATGCACATATGTACATATACACATATCTTTGCACCTATATATAATATGCACATATGTACATATACACATATCTTTGCACCTATATATAATATGCACATATGTACATATACACATATCTTTGCACCTATATATAATATGCACATATGTACATATACACATATCTTTGCACCTATATATAATATGCACATATGTACATATACACATATCTTTGCACCTATATATAATATGCACATATGTACATATACACATATCTTTGCACCTATATATAATATGCACAAGTTTACAAATCTGTACTTACAAGGACATTTGTTTTCGTAAACATTATTTTTCTAGACTTTACGAACTCTCCAAGTACACTCTCTCTTTGACTTGTTACCATTGCTGTTATTAAATTGCATTCAAATTTGCTTGTTGTTTTATTCTTTGTTTGGAGCATATGAATGATCATTTGCCCTTTCATCCTCCACTTTGTTCCAGCCAAAACATTACCTTCCTTCCCTCTAAAGGGGATTAGCAGTAAACATCTACATTTGACAAGACCAGCAAAAATCAGCAGTAACCCATGCAATATACTCTTGAAATAATATGACCTTAAAGATGATACTGGTATCTAAATCAATTTCTAATAATTTTTATTTGATGGACAGGGAGTAGAAATATTACAACAAAGAATTCTGTCATATTGGTTGAGTGTTCTTGCTTTATTGAAAATGCTTTAAAGATAATAAAAGCTCAAACAAAAGATGAAATTCCTTCTTCAATCAAAAAAGGAAACCATTTTGTCTGACTATCTCTGATTACATTGAGGGTTGGTTGGAAGAATTTTGAGAAGAGAATAAAATGTTAAATTCTGTACAAAACAGTCAAGAATATACCAATTATTATTATTCATTATTACTTTTTTCTTAAAACATTTTGCCCAAACACTATAAATATTTTTGGACTGTATCTTTCAGCAAATTCAGAGTGAAACATATTGACTTATTCTCTCTTCTGTAGATATATAGAATCATTAGAATCTCTAGCCTGTGTGGTAATAAGGCTATTTAAAATTATTGATCAAAGGCTAGCATAATATATTCAACAGTGTAGCTTAAACACATAAGGTACATGTAGTGTATCAAACTTATATATAGTCCAATGAAAGCCAACCACATTCAGACAGATTCCACGTTACGCAATTAATCCATCCTAAATTTACTTGTGTAAGACAAATTGACATTAAGTGATTAATAGAATCAATGGAATAATTACACTGAACCAAGTTGGACGTTTTTAGATTTTCGCTGTTGACTTCTCTCTTTATTTGAAATGTTGATTGACGAGAGAATGAGAGATTGGAGAAAGGATGAAGTTTACGTTTCTATTAAACAAAGAATCCATTTTGTTCTATTGCTAACTGCAGGAAAGTTTTAACATATCTTCTGCTTAGTTCTCAGCCATTGCTAGCTAGTTAGCTTTTAAAAAAATGTTTCATGATTAAAGCCACATAATCAATGTTTCATAAAACGTTTCATAATTAAAGCCACATAATCATACATATACTTAAATCATGGGATCAGACAACATGTTTTCTTTTTAAATGTGTTCAAGGCTTATCGTTCCAAATGCTATAAAGAAATATCTATACACTGGAATTTGTGTCCTTTAGTCAGTTGGTTTGAGATATTTGCTCTTGGTCTGCAAAAAATCTTATTAAACCTCACACTTCTATGTTTCATTGTTTTATGATAACAGTTGATGATCTTTGTTGTGATGTCACCTACATATGTGTCCAAGATTATGAATGTTCTGACTTTTTAGAAAAAGAATTGCATATTCCCTGTTGATTCAGCTTTAAGCCACATCATGTTGAAACATTGGTTTCCATATGATCACTGAAGTTAAGCAATGTCGAGCCTGGTCAGTACTTAGATTGGTAACCATTTGGAAATATCAGGTGCTGTAAGCTTGGATGTGTCATGGTATAATGGATAATGGCTCAGAATTGTTAATCAGAGAGCAGAGTTTTAATTCCTGTTGTATTTGTTATATTCACTTAGGTGCAAATACTTTTGGGAAAGGCATGAATCCACCATTTCTCTTCCCAGCTGTGGACTAATTAAGAAAACTTGTATCACCAAATCATTGTTATCACAAAAAAAACTGATTCTTGCAACCTAAAAATATCTCCTGGCTTTAAACAATAAATAACCTGCAAAGTGTTGATAAGCCATAGAAAACGAACAAATCAATCTATCAAATGTGTTTGAAATTTATACATTTACATAAATCATGTTATTATACCTTCCATTCCCTGTTCTACAATTCATTTATACAAGCTTATTAGATAACTGTTATAGGAACTTACCTATAATAATAATGGACTCTTCCTGACACTATAAATACTGCGTCTCTTAAGAGGTATAATGAATGAATGGTGTAACGAGTCGAGACAATATTAGTTCACTCTAAACCAGACGGACAGTCATTACTAACCACTTCAACTTCTTGTACTATATTTCTGTTGTAATATATCTTTGTTAGTCTACTCTTGTGTTCGTGTTGTTCTTCCTTGGTTCTAATCTTGGACCATAACTGTGGTGCGAGGATATTGGACCATAACAGTAACTTACAGTGTTAAATTTTCCAAACCTTCTTTCCTGATTAGGTGACACAGAAATTTCTAGTCTTTGTCTGATCACAGATATTACCTAAGTCTATATAAAAGCTAAATACCTCAAAAATAGTGATTGCAACCTAGTAACATGTAGTAATTCCATTTGCTTGAATAATGGTGGCTATACAATATCTAATGGAGTTTATGAAAACTGCAGGTTGCTTCAGAGTTGCAACTTGTTCAGTGGCTGTTTATAAGTGAGTTGTGTTTGTTGGATATGGCAGCACGGAATTTACTGAAGTAAGCAACATATTAAGTTAATCATTTTAGCGAACTTGGCATAATATCACTTTAGTGAGGTCAACAACTTATCAATTTAATGAGGTCATGAACAAATCAGTTTAATGAGGGCAGTCTCATATCAATTTAGTGAGGTCAGCAACATATCATTTTAAAGAGGTCTGCAACATTACCAATTTGGTGAGGTAGAGCCACAATCTTAACAACATAAGATATGCAGATGACACTGTACTGAAAGCAGACATGAAAAGGAAATTACAAAACCTCCTACAGAGGGTAACAAAGGAGAGTGAGAAGAAGGGACTAAGCATAAACTTCAAGAAAACAGAATGCTTGGTCATCAGTAAAAAGATGAGCGTGAAATATGATTTACAGCTAAAATCATGGAGGTGTGGAAATTTAAATATCTGGGACATGTTCTGACAGAGGATGGTAAGTGCAATGCTGTGTTTTGAAGACATATTGGGATGGCCAAAGATGCATTCCAAAAGCTCAGCAGAGTATTAAGAGACAGGGGATTAAAAAAGAAAAGGGTACTGAACTGCTACATATCTGTCCTCCTTTATGGCAGCGAATGTTGGATGGACTCTTCAAAGATGAAGAAGAGACTTGAGGCAACAAAGGTATGTTTCTACAGAAGGATGCTAAGAAAACCATGAACCGAACATGTGAGCAACAATGAAGTTTTGGAGAGAATACAAACAAGGAGGAAGATTATACTTAACATGCAGCTGAAATTTCTGGGACGTGTAAAGGAAGGCTTGGAGAATCTGACACTCACAGGGTAGATTGAGGGAAAGAGAGACAAAGGAAAGCAACAAATGACATACTTAGCGGACTTAAGCAAGTGGATGGCAGAACAGGGTCTGGGAGAAGTAGCAAAAGAACAAAACATTGAGAACTACAAGGGATAGGAGGAAGTGAAGAGCCATGATTGCCTATGTCTTGACAGGACACAGCATGTAAAAGAAAGAAAAAGGAAAATGAACAATTTAGTGAGGTCAGCAATAAATCATTTTAGTGAGGTCAGAATCATATCAATTTAGTGAGGTCAGCAACATCAATTTAGTGAGATGCACATATGAAAAATTAGTGAGGTCAGCAATAAACCAATTTAGTGAGATCAGCCACATATCAGTTTAATGTGATCACTGACATATCAATTTAGTGAGTTCAGCAAAGGAACAATTTAGTGAGGTCAGTAATAAATCAATTTAGTGAGATCAGCCACATATCAGTTTAATGTGATCACTGACATATCAATTTAGTGAGTTCAGCAAAGGAACAATTTAGTGAGGTCAGCAATAAATCAATTTAGTGAGATCAGCCACATATCAGTTTAATGTGATCACTGACATATCAATTTAGTGAGTTCAGCAAAGGAACAATTTAGTGAGGTCAGCAATAAATCATTTTAGTGAGGTCAGCACCATGTCAATTTAATGATATCAGCAACCTATCAATTTTGTGAGATCAACAAACTATCAATTTAGTGATGTCAGTTCAGACCTTACATTCCACTCAAACTGTTTCTTCCCAAGAACCATTATTTTTTTTAAAACAACTACCCTAAGCAATATAAACTCTTCAATTCCACGGCCAATGCTTATCCATCCACTAATGGATGTCACCTCAGAGAGAGTCTCTGCCTTGAGAGACTATTGGGCCATAAACACACTCCTGACCTCAAATAGAACTTCTACATACAATCCATCACCAAAGATGAAGGTAAAATGGTTGGTTCCCTGTACTGATCCAGTAAGTAGCTTGACTCCTCATGCTATCCTCCACCTTTGCAAGAGTCAGATAAGACCAAAAATGGAGTCATATTTGGGTGGGGGCTGCCCAATCCTTACTTTCCAGTCTCTATAGAGTTCAAAATCATCGCCGAGTCCTTTTGGGTGACAAATTATTTTCTGCCTTTCAATCCCTCTATCATAGATAGGATATGGCTCTTAATGCTCCATTCATACTCCCATGGAAAGTGATCAGATAAACTACATTACTTGGCCCCGCCTGGTCTAACCTTTATAGCTAGGAACCACCACGCCACATACATTGTAGCAAATCACCCACATTCTCTCTGCATTCTATCATTTCACTGGAACAGCTTCTGTCCATGAAGCATTGCTCTGTGGAACCAACTCCCATGAGGGTGTTTCCTTGGTCATTACAATCTTAACCGGTTCAAGTCTAGGGTTAATGTTTATCTTCCCCTCCTATCCATATAAACTACCCCTTAATGTAACCCTTTACCCCAAGTGGCCCCTGTGTCTTGTACAAGATGACCCTTACTGTAAAAAAAAAATCCTCATTTGATCACCAAAGTTAAGCAATGTGGAGGCTTGTTAGTATTTAGATGGAGGTCCACTTGGGAATACAGGTGACTTACAGTACCCTGTAAATCACCTAATGCAATCTAAACTATGTTTCAGCTTTAAATAACCTAGAAAGGGTTAACAAAAAACATATCTGGATCATCAATAATAAATAGATATTCTCATAATGTTCTCTTCTTATGTACATATATACCATTTATGCCATTCAGTAACCCTCTACCTTGAGTTGTTCCTGAGCCTTGTATTAAGTGAACAAGAGTAAACAAAAAGAACGAGCATTATTGATACTCTGTCTATTGGTTTTTAACAATGCTAGAGTAAGTTTCAACAAAATCTGAACTTGCATCCTGTTTCTATAGGAACATCTGTCTTTGAATTATTCCAATTTTCCTGGATGTTCCATAAATGTGTTTGTTCTTACTTTAATCTTTATCACAGTCTGGTATGCAATTAATGTTTTAAAAGTCACAGTAGCAGTATCCTGTAAGTGTTTCATCACATTTTACAATTTATATTTATCCATATAAATTATATATTAGGGCAGTCTAAGAGTGCTACTGGTATAATGTAACCCAGTATTATCTGCTGCATTCTTCTTCCAGTTTTTTTTTTTCTGGGAGGACAAGCAGAATTAAAAAAACAAAACATATCAAAAGACAAATGATCCTTCTTGCAGTTTCAATGATTATTTAACATAATAGGGAAGACTGAATTCCATAGCTATGTACACAGCTAGTGCAATGATCACATGGCTTTTGATAGAAATTTCAACTCTTTCTTCATGATGTTAAGTATAAGTGTCCTTTTTGTTTTCATTTCCTCTACAACTTGCTATGTGGGTTCTGTGTCGTTTTTCTCTATCCATCATTGCCTTCAATCTGTCCTGTGAGTATCAAATTTTCCAAGCCCTCTTTCCTCATTATGTGCCCTAGAAATTTCAACTCTCTCTTCCTGATGTTAAGTATAAGTGTCCTTTTTGTTTTCATTTTCTCTAAAACTTGCTAGGTAGGTTATGCGTTGTTTTCCTCTATCCATCTTTGCGTTCAATCTGTCCTGTGAGTATCAAATTTTCCAATCTCTCTTTCCTCATTATGTGCCCTAGAAATTTCAAATGTCTCTTCCTGAGAATAAGTGCCCTTTTTGTTTCCATTTTCTCTAAAACTTTGTTGTTGCTCACATGTTCGGTCCATGGTATTCTCAATATCCTTCTGTAGAACCACACATCTGTTGCTTCAAGTCTCTTCTTCATCCGTGGGAAGATTGACCAAGATTCACTGCTATATAAGAGAACTGATATTACACAACAGTTCAGCAGGCCTTTCCTTGTTTCTAATGAAAAAAATGTCTCTTCCTGATGTTAAGTATAACTGTCCTTTTTTTTTTTTTTTCTTAGCAAGTTTTTTTTTTGCTATTGTTAAGTATGCTATTGGCATCTCTGCAAGAGTGTACTTAACAATAGCAAACCCTCTATACCTCCTTTGTTCAACCAGTTTGAGGTTTTGACCTCTTCTGCCGACAAGGCTGAATGCTTTACTCAGAAATTCTCATTCAATTCAATGCTCGACTCTTTCGATTTCCCCCTTCGAACTGAGGCTCAATTGAACGACTTGCACATAACCCTGACATCAGTTCCGGGCATCAACTCTAAATTAGACCTCCACAAGGCTAGTGGTGGAGATGGGATACCAGCCATTGTCCTGAAGAAATGTGC